AGAATTCTTTCGCACATATCAAATAATTTGACATTAAATATTAATAATATAATTATTAATATTTAATGCCAAATTAATAATGATATTGTTAATATAATACCAGTAATATTAATAATTATATTATTAATATTTAATGCCAAATATCTTATAATTTCTTGTCATTAAAAAATCGTGATATGAAATAGATAAAATTACGAAGATTGACAAAATTTCCTATGGGAATTTCCCATTGAAATTTCGTTTACTTATCGTGATGCCCGATTTTTGTTGACAGTGAGTGCGAGCGGCTATATCGTCTCGGCGGCGCTCGTGCTGATAGTTGGAGCACTGGTGGGTGTCCTGGCGACGATATCGCGTCATCTTCATCATCGTCGGCTGCTGGTGCACGAGCCGGTCCCACCCGGCTCCGCTTCCTCCTCTTCCGCTTCGATTCTCCATTATCATCATCGGCATCACCATCATCGTCATCGACATCGTCGCGAGGAGCCACCGCCGCCGCCGTTACAGCGTTGTCTTCTGCTTCAGGATCATTGCCATCATCCTGATACACCGGTGAGTATCATTTCATCACACATTGTTTCCGCACGAAAAATTTTGAGAAATTACGTTTCCATTAAAAACGATAAAGCGTATTGAAATTTAATTGGGATTAAATTCCAATATAAATATATTGGAATTTAATTCCAATTATTTTTGTATAATATAAATGTCTAGTATAAATATGTTTAATATAAGTTCTGTTTAATATAAATATATTGGAATTTAATTCCAATATATTGACATATTCCATTGTCACATATATGATATAACTAAAAAATAACACACAACCCCAAAAGGTATGTGCGAGTGTTTACTTCTCTTACACATATATACAATATATATTTACCTGTCTCCGGATAATAAAATATCTAATATTAATGGACATCGTGTGTGAGAGAGAGAGAAGAATTTTTAACGATAACAGAATAATTTGCAGTAAATCGTGTCATTGACGGATTTATATAGAAATTATCACATTTATCTCGAAGCTGTTCGAAATAAAACTTTGAAAACGAACTTCCGCGTATTCGTTGAAACTGTATACGTCGTACTAATTTTAGCAGACTTGACCGAGTTCGTCGAATAGCTTCTTTATACAAATAACGACTCAAACGAGTCGTATCACATTCCAACGGAACGATTCTCGTTCTTATTACTTTCTGTCTCATTTCGCCGAACAATCGGTCGGTCTCGTTACACATTCTTGATATCGCGTGTCACGAGTCCAAAAGGCACACGCACTTTTCTCCGCGAGGCAAAATAGACGCGTTTTTATCATTGCAAATATGATAATACATAGTTTGCCGGACACGAAAAGAACTACGCGTAGGTCAAAAGAGGAAAAAAAAGGAAGCGCGATTTCTTATCCAGCGGAGGTTGTTATCGGTAACGTTGTCGACCTTCGACGAGATTATTACGCGATTCGCGGAACGACGAAGGCTGTCTAGGAAAAAGCTTCCGATATCTTATCTCGGCGGTCGCGGCACAGCTGTGTCTATCTGATACGTATTTTTTTTTCCTTTTCTCTCTTTTTCTCTCTCTTTTCTACTTATCCGGAAAAACAGACTATGCAACGGCACATAACTTCCCATTCCTCTATTTTTTTCTTCCGTCTCGGTGTCCCGATTCAATTATTCCAAACATGCGCGACAACAAAGACAAATCTGTGACGCAAAGCATGATTCACCAAACTTCATCTACAATTGTGGTCGATAGTACATACTATAGTTTCGCTACGAGAGTTTTCAGATGAAGATCTTGTTCTAAACAATAACATACATATCTACTTACATAAAATCTTACATGCCGTAATATATAATAAAATTCATTAATAGTTTATTCATTTATAGTAATTTTTGTTCCTTTTTTTTCTCTCCCGTGAAATATATTTCTTAAGATACTAACTTTGAGAAATATTAATTGAAAAACTCGAGAAAATAATTCTAATATTTTATTATCAGTAAAATGAAAAGCAATAATGAAAGGATTTATGTAGAGATTTATCTCTTTTTAAATTTCCTTCTTCCTTAATTCCAGGTTTTATAAAATTTTACAGTTATCTAGCATGATAAAAAATACTTTACAAAAATGTTTTCGAAAAATATTTAATTCCGTTCAAGTTTTTTCAACACGACGATTTCTCTATCCACAAATAAATTTGGATAGTCTCTAGACAATTTTCCCCGAGATCAAATCTTAATCTGCCTAAACAGCATAATGCATCTCAGTACACTCCATTTATCGTCCCGATGGCGACGGCGAGAGGTGCCGGATCCCGGCATTGATCGGTGGCGAAGCCCTTCCTCCGGCAAAGCCCCGAGGACGTCGACGGTTGGGTCCACCGAGCGCGCGCTTCCTTCGGTTTACATCGGCATCGGGCGACGGGAACTTAATTTGGAAGTTACCGGTCCCGTGATTACGTCGAGGAGAGAGAGTCGGCGGGGAAGTTTCGTCTTTCCTTCTCGGCGTTACGAGACGTTGCGATGCACGTTTCGTACCGCCGTCACGCCTGCCCCCTTCCGCCGCCGTCGCCGCGACGCGAACCATTGTTATTCTAGATTGCATCGCAAATTAGATTACGGCGTACTATACTAGGCTCTCCTCTCTCCCTCTCTTCTCTCCCGCGCGCGCCGACGCCGATGCCGACGGCGACGATGTCGACTCTGCTCTCCGCTCTTTGGCGAAGATCGGCGAGACGAAATGCCGCTTTCTCCGCTCCTCTCCGCTCCTCTCCGCGTCGCGTTGTATATCCTCTCATCCTTATTTCATCCCGGATACGCGTCAGATTGCGGCACACGCGAGCGTTCTCGTTGGAACGCAGCTTCCACCGCGTGCATAAGGATGCACCGAGTGACGGTGCGACTTTGGAATATATATACGCGACCGCAATGTCAAAAATTCACTCCGAGCAGCGATTTTCTTTCTCGACATTTTTTAATGGAAATTGTCGCCGTTTAGATAGCGATCAAAATTTATTTTGTCGTTTGATCTAATTTAAGTATATATAAAAAAAGATGGAAGAGAGAGGAGAGGAGAGAGAGAAAGAGAAAGAGAGGGAGAGAGAGAGAGAGAGAGAGAGAGAGAGAGAGAGAGAGAAACATACATATTTCTCTCTCTCTCTCTCTCTCTCTCTCTCTCCTCTCCACTCTCTTCTATCTTTTTTTATAAAGATACATTATAAAAATATGTATATCATAAGTAAATTAATTTTGTTTTTATTGCTGCTGCTTTTGATTTAAATGTTTACAAATTTAATATAGTATATCGACTCTCTATTTATAATGTATTTTTCGCCAGACGGCGTTTCCTGAATCGGTGCATTTTTAACCTCCCGACCTTTTAAGACGGCGGCGAAATCGCCGACTGCAGAAGGAAAAGAGGGATACAATCGGGGTAGGAGTAAATGTTATGTCTAGCGTTCTACAGCGGTAGTCTCCGGTTACTCCAATGCGCAGACTTGCCATTGTTTTCTCGTACCCTGCACTCGTCTCTTTATATTCGCAAGGAAAATCTCGCGGACAGGTTGGCGAGATAAAATAATACTCGGAATCGATTTCTTCCTCTCTCCTAGACGCGCTCTACAACATATCCATAATCAAAACATTCCGATATACATATGTATAGTCGCGTTTATGGCTATCTCGGCCTTGTCTGGTTATTATCTCGAAATAGCATCATCAGCATTATAGGTATATTTCCGTCATGGACGACGTGATAATCAAGCGAGCGGTTTAGCCTCAATAGCTGGGAGTAAATGATACAGGCGAAGAGGTCGAAATAATAAAATACAAATGAGAGCAAAAGAATGAACATCGATCGCATGTGACACGATGTTATTTTCCACGATATGACTCCGTCTACTGCGTTTCATTCCATTGTGGAAAATGCCGGCATGTCGCAACTGTATACGACGATATCGGGACAGTGGTGTTTATCTACTGTCGCGTCGAGAGTACATCGTCGAAAGATGATGCATCCTAAACCACGACGCGAGGCCAACGAGAGAGAGAGAGAGAGAGAGAAAGAGAGAGGTAGAGATGATGGCGACGTACGCGCTCGTTCTATGGCGGGCGCTGTGTAAATCCCGCAAATCAAACGACACCCGGAGGCTTCCCCAACGGGTAACGTTAAACTCGCGCGCGGGAAAGCAATGACCTGATTTGCAATTTATTACGTTTGGGCGACGTCCAAGTACGGCGCATTGGCGCCGCTGCCAAAATCGGCGCGGCACGATCGACGCGTGTAGCGATGTTCCCGCGTGGAATAAAGATAAAAAAAAGAAAAAAAAAAAATAAATAAAACGGGAACGAGTCGTGTAAAAACGGGGACGACGCGCACTACGTCGTTCGTACCAAGCGACGAGGAAAACAATCGACGAGAGAGAAAGAGAGAGAGGGATAAACGCGCAGAGCTGCGAATACACGCGCGATACGCCTCGCGAATTCCGGCACGGACCGCAAAATCGCGAGAGTCGAAATTTCCGGCTGTGCGTTCCCCGCAGCGGCGATGATGGAGTAAAACACGCGTCATGACAAATCGTTCGGGCGAAGTGCTCCGATTCACGATCGTCGGAATTATTTGTTCGTAACGTATAGATCGATTTCTCGATTCTCGTGTTTCCAGTTGTGAAATCTAACCATCAATGAAACTAGATTCATTTGTAATCCAAGTCATCTATTGAAAACATTGTATCCTTCCCTTGAAAATGATATTTCATCTTGAAATGAAAGAGAAAAAATCGATATACATATACAGGGTGTATCTGAAATGATGCACTAAACTTTAGGAAGATATTCTAGAGGTCAAAATAAGACTTTCTTTCCTATGAACATGGGTCCGCAAATGAACCCTCTTTCGAGCTAGAGGCCCCTAAAGTTTGGGGAAAAAATTAAAAATTGCAGAAGGAAAAGAGGGATACAATCGGGGTAGGAGTAAATGTTATGTCTAGCGTTCTACAGCGGTAGTCTCCGGTTACTCCAATGCGCAGACTTGCCATTGTTTTCTCGTACCCTGCACTCGTCTCTTTATATTCGCAAGGAAAATCTCGCGGACAGGTTGGCGAGATAAAATAATACTCGGAATCGATTTCTTCCTCTCTCCTAGACGCGCTCTACAACATATCCATAATCAAAACATTCCGATATACATATGTATAGTCGCGTTTATGGCTATCTCGGCCTTGTCTGGTTATTATCTCGAAATAGCATCATCAGCATTATAGGTATATTTCCGTCATGGACGACGTGATAATCAAGCGAGCGGTTTAGCCTCAATAGCTGGGAGTAAATGATACAGGCGAAGAGGTCGAAATAATAAAATACAAATGAGAGGAAAAGAATGAACATCGATCGCATGTGACACGATGTTATTTTCCACGATATGACTCTATCTACTGCGTTTCATTCCATTGTGGAAAATGCCGGCATGTCGCAACTGTATACGACGATATCGGGACAGTGGTGTTTATTTACTGTCGCGTCGAGAGTACATCGCGTCGAAAGATGATGCATCCT